CGAAAAAATTATATTCTCGTAAGTAGAAGATTTTATACTTAAAAAATCTTCTTAAAGATTTTAGATGATATTCTTCTGAAATTAAGAATATATTCTTTATTTGAGAATATAGTCTTTTTCGATAGTGAGATATATATGTTTTTCTATAGAGGGTTTTTATATTTTAATCAGCATATATTCTTATCAATATTACTATTTAGAGGATTTTCCTCTTAAAATAAGAAAATCTTCTTGGCGCCTATTTTAGTATAAAATATACTTAAAGTAAGTGGGATATCCTCAAAATAAGAATACAATTTTTTCGGTGTATGTCTACCGCGTTCGCGATAGTGATATGATAGCAAGATTTATTTTAGGGTTTAGCATTGTCGAAAAATCGTAGCCGCGGGAATGAAACGTGACAGAAGAAAACTACCGTTAACTGTGCAGTCTCGTCAAATAGTACACGGATAATTAAAAAATGAATTACGCCAAAATCATGTGAATCGTTGCCGATTATTAACTTTTGACCGCGTATGTCGCGTAAATTGTAACAAACTATCTGCTGTCGAACGCTGCAATAAACTGTCACGTGTCTTATTTTATTTAATTTTTTATCTAATTGTGTGCATTGTATACTGATTAAGTTTTTCTGTCTTAAAACAACACCGCCTCCTGAGCCCATGCCTCTCTCCGTATTTAATAACTTAAGAACCGAGCTGCCGGAAATACACGTCGTCACGTCCAGAATAAAATAAAGTCGAGTCTTGGAGTACAGATTTTGAGAACGGCATGATAATTCGCGGCTAATTATAATTAATTTTTTGGTGAGTAGAGTCTAATTAAAATCTTGCAAAGGACGAGCCAAAACTGTATCTCATCTTTGCACTAAAATCCAAGGGCGAGGGGTACCCGTTACAATGTATACATATATTATACATATATATACACATATATTATGTAAATAAATAAATGAATTGTAAGTTAAATCTCTAAAAACAAATTTTGTGGTTTTATGAAACACTTAATTAACATTTCTTTTTTTTTCTTCTCTACTTTTTCTCTTTTTCTACTTTCTCCAGAAAAAAAAAACAAGAAAGGAAGAATTTTATAAAAAGATATTAACATGACGAAAAAATGAAGCAAGCGATGAACTATCGATTCTGGATTAAATTCACGAACGTGTCACTTCTCTCTCGGTTTTAAATATTGAATAACAAATAATCTCTCACATCTCAACAAGATCGAGATCTGTCGCGTCAAACATTTACATTAACTGAGTAACATTGCCATTGAGTAAGCGATCTATAGCAATGTGATATTATTATTACAAGCTGTGAAAATGATCAGGTTCTTCCTGTCTTTCGTGTTTTTTTTTTTTTTTTTTTTTTTTGCAATTATCAAATCGTTCTAGACATATGTACAAACCGGTTTGCGCGTAGTCTTATCGAAGGTATGCAGATTTCAGCAATCAGCAAATCGTGTGTCTTTCTTGCGCAAGAAAGTGCCACGCTAAGCCAATTAGATCTTCGCGAATGTNTTTTTTTTTTTTTTTTTTTTTTTTGCAATTATTAAATCGTTCTAGACATATGTACAAACCGGTTTGCGCGTAGTTTTATCGAAGGTATGCAGATTTCAGCAATCAGCAAATCGTGTGTCTTTCTTGCGCAAGAAAGTGCCACGCTAAGCCAATTAGATCTTCGCGAATGTCTGACAGTTCAAAAATTATCATTCTTTCGTATAAAACCAATCGATGTGAATCTCTACAGTGTTCGTGTGTGAAAATAAAAACGTTCTCTTGTAAATAACGAAACTACTCTATAATAAAATTATTTATATCAAAATTAACCGCGAGTTTTTACATATTATTTAATTTATTTATAAAAACTCGTATAAATTATAGAAATAAAATTTTTATTATTGTTGTATTTTTAATTTTATTGCAACAATTAAAATAAGTAGTGTAACAATAAAAAAAGTGAAGAATTTATTGAAAATGCTTTCTAGTTGAACATCACCGTTTCAAATGAATCTCACCGCACCGCCGGCGATCGACAGGATGTCTAACATTTACAACAACTCTATAGTGCGATTCTGGGATTTTATATTTCATGATTTATCCGGTGAGTTTTTGCGTGTGTATCGTACAAGATTTATATATTACATCGGAGAAGATTTTGATCCTTGAGTTACATAAGGACTCGTAATTTAAATGCACATTTAAATGCCACTTGTGATTATTCGTAATCGACTTATTTTTTTTTTCTCATAGTGGACAAAAACTTAAACTGCGTCACACGTCCAATATATTATAACTGTTGGAATAACTTAATTTTTTACCTTCCGATAATAATGTCTATCTATTTTTTCAGTAGATAATCAAAACAACATTGATCTTGCGTTTCTTATAATATAAGATTTAATATTATATCTTATATTATATTATATATATCTTATATATATCTTATATTGTAAGATTTAATAATTATTTTATATTATTTAATTATTGCGTTTCTTATAATATAAGATTTAATAATTACACATCGAAATTTTCGCGCGCGCGCGATGTAGTTTACTTAATCCAATAAAATGTTTTTTAAAAAATATCTTTCGGTCTAATAAACCAATTGAATTGAAAGTAAAATTGAGCTATCATGAACATTAATTTTTTTTTTACATTTTTAACCTGCAACTTGCATACGGATTAATGTTTTTATTTTATATCTCTTTTTCAGATCCTCGGACCCACGATTGGTTCCTAATATCCTCACCTGTGCCGGGCGCTAGTATCATAATCTGTTATCTCTACTTTGTACTGACATGGGGCCCGAGACATATGAAACATCGAAAGCCATATCAATTAAAAAACATCTTAATCGTGTACAATTTTTGTCAAGTTCTTCTTAGCACGTGGTTGTTTTGGGAAGGTTTGGACGGTGTGCTTCTTCATAAAGATTACAGCTTGAAGTGCGAACCGGTGGACTTTTCATACACGCCACGTGCAATGAGGGTACGTTCACACGTTCTATACGAAATATAATATAATGAGAGGCACGGGATATACCTCGCGCAGCGCGCGCACACTTCGTTGGCGCGAAGCACTACCGTGCCTCTTTGATGTTTATAAATATAATATATATTTATATAAACAATTATGACTTAACACAATCCATTAAGTTTTGTATTCAATTTTTTTACTCTTAATAATTTATTATTCAACATATATCCCCAGGTTTTCGCGCTTTGCAATTGCAGTTCTTCTAAAAAAAAAAAAAAAGATTTATTCTTTTAATAATTTCGTGTATATGTATTCAATTTTGTTAAAAATGCAAAATACGCGTATGACAAAGACAGGTTCGAACGATCGAAACCAATTTAAATTTTCACGTTTTCTGTTTTACGTTTGTTGCAGATCATAAGAGGCGTTTATATTTATTTTCTGGCGAAATTTACGGAACTCCTTGACACCGTGTTCTTTGTTTTGCGTAAGAAAGAGAAGCAAATCACGTTTCTTCATATGTACCATCACACCGTGATGCCGATGATATCATGGGGCGTTACCAAATATTATCCCGGAGGTCACGGGATGTTTGTAGGTATGTCAGAATAAAAAATAATAAAACATATACACGTAATTATAAAATAATTAAACTTATATGAAATTGCAGGAATTATCAACAGCTTTGTGCACATCGTCATGTATTTTTATTATTTACTGGCCGCGTTGCTACCTGGCCACTTGCATCGGCAATATCTCTGGTGGAAGAAATACATTACCACTCTGCAAATGGTATCGCAACAATAAAAAAGAGTCTATCGCGCGCTCGCAGTGCAACTGTCGACAATGAAATTTTTACTTTACTTAATTAGCGAATTTTTTATTTTTATCGACGTATATTTTATATCACATTATCATTACGAACGAATCTTGTGTGATTCTTCTAACCGTGACAATTCTTCTTCTGTTCAACAGGTTCAATTCTGTCTAGCTTTTCTGCATAGCTGTCAACTGCTGTTCTACGACTGCGATTATCCAAGGATATCGCTCGTGTTCACTCTGCCAAACGCGATATTCTTCTACGTCATGTTCTCAGACTTCTACAGAAACGCCTATACCTCAAAGACGGAAAGCGACGCGTCGTCGATTCAGAACTCAATCAAGGCAAACGAATCCGCGGAGAAAGTGAGCGACGAGAAGATACCAAACGGAAAAGGGAAAAGCGACTAAAAGCGGGAAAAATCGAGGAAAGAGATGACGACGACGTTTCCAATTAAAACGCGCGCCGTAATCATTTTCATTCACCCGATAATTGCAGTCTCCGATTCCGTTTAAGGACGTTCTCCGAATTATTGATTTTCTTAGGATTTTCTTTAAATTCGCGATATACATAGTTTATGATCTTATTTTTATACGTAGCCTTTTTTGGATAATAGAGGTAGCAATGTTAAATTCCAAACTATGGAAGATTTATATTTCAATTTTTAACATGGATTTCCTATGCTGAGCCTTTGTGAAGTGGGGTTTTTTTAAATTACTGACGACAATTTTCTCTTAGGATTTTTTTAAAAAACAAGTACGTGGTAGCGGAGAGTGTCTTAATTAAAATACGATTTTGAATAATATGGCAAGCAACCCTTGTTTTCAGACTGTAGCTTTTTTTTGTTTTTTTTAGGGGTTTTTTTTTTGTTTTGCTGGATTTATGTGCGCTGTGTACCGCAGCTATTTTTGAACTTCTGCGCAGGGTAAGCGGGTCTTAGCAGTGCTGAATAGCTCAACTTAACTTTGTTACAGCGGTACAAACTTACTCATGAGAAGAAATATTTTAGATTGCTAACCACTGTATTTAGGTTTTCTAACCACTGTATTTAGGTTGCTAACCACTGTATTTAGGTTGCTAACCACTGTAGTCGGAAAACGTCCTTAATCTCGCCGACGTACCTTAGAATTTACAAAACCAAAAACAAAAAAACGCACAAAAAATCCGAGTATGCAAATCGAAACGAGAACAATTGATGAGCATTCGTGTTGCAAAAAAAAAAAAAAAAAAAAAAAAGAGCAGTATTTCTGCTGAACACCTACTGTTAAGTCATCCGTAGTTTCCTCGGTAATGGTTG